TCAGTAGCATTTCTGAAGATTCACAGAGAATGCAGAGCTCTTTTTAAACTTCTTTAAAGAGATAAAGAATATTTATATAAAAATATATTAGATTGAGAGTTCATTATTTTTTTCTCTCCTTTTTCAGCTCAGTTTCATCCACTTCTTCTCCCTCCAACTTGTATGCTTAGAAACTTCATTAATTTATTTTGCTACTTCAGCTAATGCCAAATGTAAAGACAAAAAAAAATGCTGAAATTAAACAATTATACGAACCCAGGGAAAGAACCTATGGTAGCTGAGGCTCAGCTACAAGTAGCAACAATTTCCCAGTGCTTTAAAATGAAAACAGAAAAAAGTACCCAAAAAAGTGAAACAGGTAATGGGTGGCAGTACCAAATCCACTGATTACAGAGAAAGAAACCAGTGGGAAGTCTACAGGAGAGGTGTGGTATTGCTACAGCCCAGGTCCCTGTTTCACTATTACAGCAGAACACACCACAACAATCATTTAAAGAAGCCATAGAAGACCCCAGTCTTCTCTCGAACAACAGTGTGTACTGCATTCTTCAAACTGTTACAGTTAATTTTATAGGTGAGATTCATAATAGCTAATTACACAGATTGCTCTGCTTGAATCTGCATCTTCTGCTTATTAAGACTTCTCAAAGAGAAGGAAAAATGCAGTCGCTCTTCCATGCACTGCTATCTTATCCTGTATTTCTGCTTGCACCTGCTGCAATCTGTTTTTTTCTGTGATGTTTTAATGACTTTCCTGCTTCAACATCAGGTCTGAAAGTGCTTCTACTATTTTTGTTTCCTCAACTTGGTATCGACAAATGATTAATTGGTTACAGTAATCTTTTCTATATGAAAGATTTCCTGTTTCTAATTCCACAGAAATAGGGCTACCTTTCGTAAAATATTTATTTCAAAACAAATTTCAAATACAGCTGGAAGTATGTCCTGCAAAAAAACCCCACACCTGCATTTTTATAATTAGACACAAAACCAGGCTTATTGCATTCAGTGGGAATATGCACCTACATTTACAAAAAGAGAATAATTTTTGCATAAACAAGCTGGGCACTGAAATTCAATTTAAAGGGGATTTTAGAGCCTAAAGGTCTCTGTTGAGAAGGCTGAAAGATGGCATTCTTTCCATTGCCTAGGGCAAATTTAGCTTCATTCTTTTTAAGCACCAACGATGCCAAGTCTTTGCCTGTTGGTAACATAGTAGGTAATCCACACTCTTGCCAGATTTACACTACCTGTCAAAGGAAATATTTTTCATACTGTCAACTAAAGCCACTATCTAGTTGCATGTCTCCAATTAACTGTGTAATATTTACCCATATATTTAGGGCTTTCAAAAATTAATGTTTATTCTGGAGTCAGCTTAACATTAAACCACAGAAAGGTAATTCATATATTGCAATAAATACATAATAGTTCTATGAATTCCAAATCCAAGCATCTTGGATCAAGTGCTTTACATTATGCTTCCACTTCTGAAACTGTCTTCATGCTTCTGTTCCTTTGATAGAGTATGAATTACTTTTAAGACCTGAAGCTAGAGATATTTGTGCTTGATTTGAGTTTTCCATACTAATTTGTTTTCATAGCTGGTCCTGTATTTTTGTTAAGTACTTGGGTTTAAACTTGCATAGGGTTGCTTATTTACTTACCAACAAATCTGGAGCAACCACACTGTATATATGATGTTTTTAAGGAAATAAAATGTTTTGCAGGTGGGGCCATCAGAACAAAAGAATTCATCCTAGGTTCTTTCAGGCATAGCATAACTTTCAAGCCTGAATTAAACATACACATAGACATGGATCTGCAATGACTAACCATGACTAACCACTTTTATTACACAGAAAATTAGTATGTGGCTTTGCAAAAAGATCTACCTATTGGACAATTCTAAATTTGATCATTAATTCTATGCCCACATGTCTAGCATGCAGGTCCTACTAACATGTGTAACCAGATCATAAATATTTGTTCCCTAGGACTTTGAAATGAAGAATGAAAAAGAAACATTTGTCTAAATAATTCGGGGAAATTGACTGTCTTGACCATCCAGCAACATGGGTACCCAGGGAAACACAGCACAGCAACTTGCTTTTTAACTGCCCCAAATGCAAGCAAAATGCACAACCCAATAGGAAAACAAACCTGTGCCAATACTACAACTGACATCGCAAAACACAGGGTTTTCACTTTTTGCCAAACCCTTATAACCATGATCTGGCATTGTTTCAGGCCTGTTAATAAACTGCATACGAAGAAAATGCACTGCTTCAAAGAGACATTTCAATCAGTATTTTATCCAGTTTAACTTTTAATCCAATTTTTCCAGGTTTGAATCTAAAACCAAAGTCTTGTAAGAAACACAACTTCCATTTTCCTCCACCCTAGCAGAGACTCAGTTCAAGCATATATGGGGACATAATTTGTACCACTCCATCACTCATGACCTAGAGCAATCTAGGGAGATTTCAACAAAAGTTACAACTAAAAATTCAGGAAATAAGAGAGAAATATATAAGTTTCTCTTATAGAAAACACTGGGATGTTAATTTGGTAAGGTTCTTCAACTGATATACATTACCTATCTCCTAAGGTCTTCCACAAGTAGTTAATAGGAAAAAAAATCTCAGCTGGTACAGAAGCTGGACTTAAAAGTGATAGAGCACCTTGTTATTTGAAATATAGCAATGGAAGTGATAATGAGAAATAACTAAATCATTCCAGATCCAAAAAGGATACTGAAAACTCCTAGCCCCAAAGCTTATTTCTCTTAAATAAAGCCTGCAATGTTGTGGTAAATTAAAGTTTAAAAAAAGCTATGCAAAGCAAACCTCTAAATCTGGTTTTGCTGCTCTGTTGTTCTTGTCTCAGGCTTAAGGAAATTTATTACTTCCTCCTTCTGCTTGTACCACTAAGAAATCTTCCAGAATATAAGTCTCGAAATCCTCTGCCTGCCTACAACTGTATGTACATTTAGGTGATTCAGCTGAAAATGCAAGTCCTTTTGTATGGGGGCAGGGAAGACTCCCCACAAACCTACATTTAAAAAAAAAAAAAAAGTTCCTTCTAAAGTGTTATAAAAGTACATTTGCGGTTCTCTGCTATTTATACTGTAGAGAAAGAAGGCCTGAAAACTGGCAGCAGGCATTTCTGCATGATTCGTATCTCACAAATACAAGTATGCCAAGAATTTTCTTCCGTTTTCACTGCAGAAATTTTCAGAATTTTAAGAATGGAGCTGAAAGAATTGTCTCATTCCTCTGCTACAGGACATACTGTCACATATCTACTATGGTAAATAATAAGCATTTGCCAGGAATTTGAATTAAACAACGACAGAAGATTATGTTTTTGAAAGTCATTTGAATAAAAATCTTCTCTAATTCTCTTTTTTTTTACAACAATTTGAGAAACTGGAGATAACATTTTATCATAAAAGATGTGGAAAACAACAAAGAATAAAATATGCAGGTTTATTTCAGATAATTTTTATATGCCACGAAGTAGTAATAAAGATCAAAACAGATCTGATTTTCCAATGCAGATCATCACATGACCATTAGGGAAGGTGCTGCTGAAATAAAAGACTTACTTCACACAAGTAGTGTTTTAACATTTGCACTTTACAGCAATTCCACTGGAAAATGGTGGAGGGAGTAATAAAATTCTTAACAGGCAAGTACTCCCACACATTGTCTCCATGTGAAAATCTTCAGGCTATCAGCCACTAGCTGCCATTAGATAAAAACTAAAGCCTTGTGTCACAGCCAAGTGAACTTTTCTTTAGGTCAACATGAAGATTTACTGGCACTCAGAACAGTGTACACCAACTTCAAGGTAAAAAGAGTTTGACGCAAATATCTGAGATAGCCCTATCAGCTCCACATTTCAGCTCCTCCCACCTGAATTGGCTTCTCTTGTCTAAGTCAACTAATGCACAATTCAATAGCCTTGACTTACTGTGAGATGTGAGTTATTGGGGTCAACAGTGTCTCACCCTCCAGGTCAATCTCATCGGCAAAACTGCTGGTCCTGATGAAGGGTCCTGTGTTCACATCTAAAAAGGTCGGGCTTTTTTTCACTGTGTGGAAACATGTAGATGACAGTTAAAGTAATAGCATTAGTTTTGTTCAAGAAAGGTCTACACGTCATTTGGATCTCTTTAACACTGTACATTTTAAGAGAATATTGAAAACAGAAGTTACTACCAAAAAATTGTATATTTTCATGAAAAATAAAACTTTAACTCTTCCTCTACCCAAATAATTTCAACTTCTGCTGAAGGCTTAAAATTAATATTTGTTTATTTTTTGTTGTTGACACTCCTTATACATTACAATGTAGTTTATCCATATCACAGGCAGCTTCATGCATTAAAACTTACTGTACAATACTCAGCCATACCATGAACCACCACTCTGCAGCAATAGTGCACGAGTGCAATTCAATGACAAGATCAGTTCCTGTTTATGTCAACTCTACTTCATGTTTAATTTATAATACCAGTTTCTGGATGTAAGTATTATGACTAAGATGAAGAAATCAGACCTAGATCAACAAAGAAGCAGAGGCATTTTCACAGTGAGCAGTCAGCCCCTGTCACACATTGTATGAGTTGGTCTACTGGTTCCAAACCTCTCTCATGCTTTAGCACAAGGATGCCTCATCTTTGAGCCCAGACACAAAGCAGGTGTCAAGATATTCAGGTCATCCAAGAGGAGGTCCTTAGTGTGAAGGCCATTTCAAAAAATTTCAGATATTGCAAGTTTTTAGGGGCAAAGTTACTTGTATACCAACACTTCCATGCATCCAAGAAATTAGGCAGAGTATTACGGATTTCACTTTTAAATTCAGGCTCCAGCATTCTGCCAGACTCTAACATTAAGAACTCTAAGTGCTTTTTCCAGCATGGTTCTAACTTTTCTTACAGAAACTACAAAATTTAACTATAAAAAAATCACTACTGTATTTATACATGACTGTAAATGAATTCTTTAGAGAATAAAAAACCAAGCAAAATTCTGTAGAAATCATTGGTAGATTGTGACACCTCCACAGAAATCTTTAACTGGCTGGCTCATTCACTGACATTATAATAGTGTTGTAATTTATGAATTTACTGTATTAAATAAAATACTTTATATCATAACAGTAAATAATGCCTTACCCAAATGCAACATGAAAACTAAAAGGAATACAGCAGAAATAGTTAACTTCAATGCAGCTGAATCTAGTAAGAATAGAAGTGGGGAAACAATTTTCTTTCTAAATGCATCCATTTTACTCAAGTAAGTAGATACCTTCATACGGCAGAAATGGTTTTGAACATTTACAGATACTCAGAAGAGAAAATGTTATATCATCAGGCACATCGCCATTCAAAATTATGATAGTAAAGTCTGCTCCCAGAAAGTTAAATAGGAACGGAAGACCTCTGAAACCACATTAAAAAATGAGAGACACAGCTGCTAAGAGACAAAATTCTTAAAAACAGGAGCCGCTTGCAGCACTTAAAAATGAGAATTCTACAGTAAGTTTTAGCAAATGTTAGCTTCCTCTTTTTGTTTTAATACCGTATTATTTAATCACTTTGATGTAGCTATCATCCAAGATAGTGGCTGTGAAACAAGCAAAACAGAACCAGATTCAGATATGCAGCAAAATGTCTTTCAAACAGACTCATCTTGGCTTTCACTAAAGTAATTTTCTGTTTTCATTTCTGCAAGAGACAAATGAAACTTTCCTATTTTCTAGGAAAGGAGAACTCACAGTTTTTCAGTTTTTTTAGTTTTGCTGATGACAAGTCATAAAACTGCTGAACTTAAAACCATGTAAAGTGTTTGCTGAACTCTCACTAAACTGCTTATGAGAGATACAATACACACCGTACACATGTGGATTTGCAGAAATGGCTATTCTTGGATCATTCAAGAAGATTTACTCCCCTTTTCAGTTTCATGGGACGGGAGAGGAAGTGTGGCTCAATGAAAAAGGAACAAGAAGCCAAGCCTGTACCTCAGCCTATTTGAAAGTGCTGTTATCTGAGAATACAGAGTTGAAGAGCAGCTTTATATGAGGCAAACATGGTATCTCCCGCCCTCTTTTCGTTTCTAACAAGAATGTAACTAAGATCAGTCTGTTCTGCTGACCAGTACAGCTCTCTGCTCTTCATGCTCTCATTCTTAAATCTATGTTGCTGCTTCCAACATGAAGGAAGAACCACTGCTAACCACAACCATGCAACCTACTTAGAGAGAGACGAGGGACCAAGAAAAGAACCTGACATAAATGAGAGCTCCCCTGGCACAAAGTGCCTTGAAACAAGGCTCAAGCAGAGCACCAGGCAGCACACGCTGCCACAGCTATTTTTTTAATTTATAAAAATTAATTCATAGCTGTTGGAATTTTGAGGAGTTTCTCAGAGAACAGTTTCTTAAAAAAATAAGATAAGACACTACATTTCTAAATAAGTAGGATAAAGGAATAAAAAAAGGAAGCTTTAGAAACTCATTTTCAATGGATAATAATGAGTGAATAAAAAACAGGAAACAGGTGTCGCAATGGATATTTACTATAATTCAGGGGTCTCCAAGCTTTATTTTCTCAATTTTTGATGGATAGCAGCAGCAGCTATGGTAGCAGGCATGACTATCCACGTGATAATGTTGAGCCAAGTCCTACTTTGAAATGGCACAAAACACACTCCCCACAATAAGAACTCCTGCTTTAGAACAGAAATTCTGAACTTTCAGAAACATTCAATGTGAGGTTGGACGAGCTCTGAGCATCCTGAGTTGTCCCTGCTTATTGCAGGGAGGTTGGACTAGATGATGCTTAAAAGGTCCTTTCCAACCCAAACTATTCTATGATTCTATGAACTTTGAATCAAGGACTATAAACACAATAACAAGAAATTACTGATGGGTTTTCTATACTACCAACATGTCAATTTTATATACAATATGACGTGTATGAAGATGCTTTTCTGATAGTGAAGTATTTGGCTAGTAAGACAGAAAATATTTTACACTTCCTCTTTTGCAAGCACAGACAATAAATTTAAAACACTTTAAAGCACTTTTCATGGAAAATCCGAGTTTTAATTAATGCATTTAGAAAATACCTCTGTTCTACAGAAGACTTCTTTATTTCATTTAAACATTTGCACTTTACAACTTGAGCAACTTTCCAAACTCAAAATTCTACTGACATGCCTTCTTTCTTTAAAAAACCAGCTCTATAATTTCCCATGCCACACCAGGTAACTCCAGACAAAGAATTGCAAAGATTTAGTAATTAACAAAGGTGATAGAGCAATGAAATATTATGAGCTTTACCTGGAGAGGAAGGAGCACTGGAAGACTGCTGGTCTGCGGAAAAGGATGGCCAGGAGCGCTGACAATCTGAGTTAGAGTAAAGATGCACATAAAATAGAGGTGAAGGGGTGGGGATAGAAAAAAGCTCCAGGCAGGCAGCTGAGGAGATGCAGACATGCCTAAAATATAATATGTTGTACCTGACATCTTTAAAAATAAAATAAAAAAATACTGTGGAAAAGAGTTTGTATGAAACTCTTTTAGTGTGCATTATACCTTAGCAGAAATTGAAATTGCCACCAGGGGAGTTAACCCATTCTTAATGGCAATGTCACTTGCTGCAAGATACTCCTCCCTATATGTAAATTGCATTTTCAGGAAGGTAATCTATATATTTGCCCCTTCCTTCCTGACTTTAGTGTTTCCTCAATCATCTCCCTTTCTGAAGTGTACAACCTGATACACGTCAGACCCCTCTTGCTCTGGTTCATACCATTCATGGTGTAGCCAGCGCCTAGTCAGATTACAGTGCTGCCACGTGGCTATACTAATACTGCTACCCATGTTTTGAGCTGCCTGATGCATCCCATAGAAAGCATTTGAAGCTGTCCACTTCAAGCATCTAAGCCGAGTGACTGCCTCAAGCCAAATTTCTTGGGGAAAAGTTTCAGGCAAAGCAACAGGAGTCAGTGATGAGAAAGAGACTCGGCAAAATGTAATGTTCATGCTATGCCTAGTTCTTTTGAATAGCTTTATCCTTTTAATAACTATTTCATCAAGAAATGCCTGTGGACTCACACACTGGGACAGTATTTCTTTGAGACACTGTGAGAACAGTGTTAGGTAACCTTTAAAGTCACTGAGCTCATGCTGCCTGGCTAGGAAATCAAAACTGAACCTATGGTGGCTGGCAAAGCTCCTCTGATATTCCCCCCAGATGAAGGAATTTCTTGCTGGTATAAAACAGGTGACTTCAGCAGCTCTTGCTGCTCTTCTGAGCTTGATCCCCAATGGAGATGCACCACTTGAAATACAGGAGAACAGTGGAAATGGAAAATGGGCAATTCAAAGTTTGGTCAGGGGTAGTCAAGGAGATTCAGTTTGTTTTCTGCTATTTTACAACCTTAATTGCACCTGTGTTCCACATGGGTTCTGAGGAGAAACTGAACCTTGTGTTTTCAGACAATTTAATCCAAGTCTGAGCATCCTTGCATTCTATCACTGAAAAGAAGCCTCCACTGTCATTAATGGATGACAACTAAGACAACTTACAGGTGGCTCACAGCACTTTCACTAAATCAGAGAGGTTTTGCCCAGACCTAGCTCTAATCCTAGAGTCTTTGGGGAACGCTCAATTGTTAAGAGAGTGCCTAAGCAAGCACATTAGAAACATCACAGGACTACATGGCTGCTTAAGTGATCCCAGAATCCAGACAAACATTAAAATAAATTATTTAATTTATGGGTCCCCATCTGTTCACAAATATCTACAGAACATTTTTATAGGAACAGATGTGTGTACTTCAGACTGCACAATATTGGAGGTCAAATATGGAAATTCTTCCATCCCAACCTATTTGCTTAGAAATTTATTCTTAGCTGTATGCTCAGATAATTTAACTACTGGATGAATTATAATTTATATATATGTAGATTATCTTTTTCTATTGCTTATATATATATATATACAAGCAATTTTTCTTAATAAAAAAAGAAGAAAATAAACAGAGATCATCTTCTTATGAGAGTGTCCACTTTTCTCTTTGTGGGTGCAATTGTGGGAACTGTGATTTTGATTACAAGTGTGAGAATGCACATTTTTGGTGGTCTAGATCTCCTCAGCTGCAAAAGATGTCTTAGAAACTATATGGCACTAGACACACATGAAAAGCACATCAAACATTACATTGTTATAAGCTGGCATGCCATAGATAAAATTATTTTCCTTAACTTACCAAGCAATTTTAACATTCCTGTTTGTCCTGTATACTTGTAAGCATTTAGAGAGAGCAGAACACAGATGAAAAAGAAAAAAGACAAGTGTCAGAAGAAATTAGAGAAGATCTTTTTATTGAAAGCTATAGAGCCGATTTTTGAAGCGGCAGTAGTAGGCTGCCTCCAAATCAAATTGTCCTTTAATCAACTTAGAAACTTGGTGAGGAAAGGTGGAACTTTACAAATCTAAGCAGTTGTACAGTTCATTGATTGGATTGTTTTGAAGGAAGTTATCTGTACCAAAAGTCTGAGAGACAGACTAAACTTATTACTTGTCCATCTTTTAACAGCTATGTCATTTATACCAACAGATGCAATTCACAATCATTCCTAAACAGAGGCCAAGAAAGAGTGGAGAAGCATGGGTGTTAAAAACATGACAAGACAGAAGCACACGGAAAAAAGAATATCAAAGATGAGACTTTCTGTTTGAATTAAAATATGCCTGACACCATCCTACATTGCTATCTTAATTTAAAGGTCATTAAACTTAACCAGGTCAGCCAAAATTTTGAGGAGAAAAAACATAAGTACTTAAGGTATCAGTAATCAGTAAAACACACCCTAAAAATTAAACCTCATTCTTGTTGCCAAAATTTGAGCAATACATAGTAGAACTTCTAATAAAAATACATTTGTAAAAAAGCCACATTGTAAATTCAGAGTTATTTTGGAAGTTCATTACAGCTAAATCAGCTGTAACTAAGCCATTAATTAAAAGGTGACTATCAAAGTCCTTTCTTCTTTTTCCTAACACTATATCATTTTGTACAGCGCTGGTTAATATAGATGGATCCACATTTATCTTAAGTAATTCTGCCTTCAAAATTTGATTCACAGCCTACTCCACTGAACAGATGGCAGGAGCACATGATGGTTTCATGTAGCAGACTGTTCAGTGCAGCCAAGACGTATCAATCCTTTTTGGTTGAGGTGAAAGCACAACAGTAACACATCTTGGGTAAATTTCATGTGGAAAAGCTATCAGCTAATCCCTGTAGTTTCAGACAACTGCAGAACTGGGGAATGTATGCACCAGCCTCAGAGACAGTAGCTCTTCTGGCAGGTAAAAATGACAAATAATTTTAGTTTGTCTGCAGTGGACTATGCTCATTAAAGGAATGGTTGAATCTTATCCAGACGAGATAGCAACGAAAAGTCCAAAATCAAAGTGCTCTTGCTTTAGAATGATATGAGTGTATACTATCCTCATTGTCTCTCCTACAGAAATTAAAGAGGATCTCTGTGTAAATCACTAATAGAAGGCATTACAGATACTGACATTTTATAATGGAATTTCTTACCAGAATTTTCATATGCTTCAAAACTGAAATCAGGTTTCCTGTCCTCCGTCACGTGGTCGTAAGTTATGTGTGGAACAGTTAACATCCTATCTGGAGAAGAAGGCCCATTGTCTTTGTCTAATTTGAATTTCTTCTTTTTAACCTAAAACCACACATAAATTATATTACTCAAACCAAGACAAATTTAGTTGTCACTTCAACAATGTCTTCAATAATAATGTGATCCCCAGTGAGCTATAACCAGACAAAAGAGTGCCTGACGAATTACATTTTCATGATGGTACACCGTGCATTTCTCAGCAAGATTGATCCCATCCCACCAAAACTGGCTAATTGTTAGAATTCTGCACATCGTCATTAGCAAATCCCTTGCCTGCAGAAAAAAAATCTGCTAGCTCTGTGACAGTTTATATAAATCAAACTATTCTAGAATATCTTTACCATTTTACGGGTACAATAAATCGTACCTTCAACAAAAAGCAAATGGATATATTGCTACTGAGCTTAGATGAGCCTGGGATTCTAGGGAAGATTTTTGCACACCATCCTCTCCTTCCAGCCCAAGACTACTCTGCAATACTCTTACAACAGAGAGGATGAAGTATTACATAGAATCACAGAATAGTTAGGGATTCTGACCAATGCATTTTTGTTGCTGTTCTTTAAACAAAAAAAACCCAAAAAAATCTTAAATTATGCAATCAGTTTATACAAAAACATTACTTTATGTAGGCGCAAGGTGTCTTCACCACAGAAGCTCAGAAAGCCACAAAATCAATAATTAAGAGAAGCAGCAGTTTGGGGTTTTTTTGTTGTTCTGTGGTTTTGGGGTTAGGTTTTTTTGGTTGTTGTTTTGGGTATTTTTGTTGGAGGTTTTTTTGGGGTTTTTTTGTTCTTTTAACCAATTAGGAGTTACTGTTTTGGAAATCATAGCAACAATAAGCTACTGATCGATGTGCTTGAGTTCGGTCATTATTGCTCTTTTGCAATCCCACAGATCCATTAAAAAAGTCAAGCTTGAGAACGGAAGGAAATTAAGTTATAGTTTAAAATGTTTGTACACTGAAAATCTCAAAACTGAAATGAAAATAAAACTTTAAAACCAAGTAATAATCTGTAAAACAAACACAACAAATAGCTTCTAGAGAGTAAATAAATTTAAGCTAATTAAGAAGTTTTAAATTACTATAATAGAAAATGTTAGTTACTGGTACCATCACTGATTTCTTCGGTTTTGGACTGGGTGACAGCAAATGATAATTTCTGGCAGGTTTTCTAATATATATTTTCCATGTAGAAGAGTCTGGGTTTTCTGCTGCGTAGCATCGCCATGCAGTCTAGAACAGATGTTTTAAGCAACAGAACAATGAATCAATCAGATTTGTAGCTATCTGTACTACAAAGTAACTTCCAAGTAGTATGTTAGTCATTCTTTATTTAATAGTATTCTTGAACTTCCCCACTGGAAACATAAACACAGCGTGGTTTAGAATCCTTATTCAGTAAACAGAAACTACACAGTTTGATCTGGGCAAACCAGAACGGAAGGTCAGTCTTCTCAAGTGCAACTTTTGTTCATATTAGCAACAAGTAATAAGAGAGAATTCGAGACTGCACTCAAAAGATTGGGGTTGTATTTCTTGCTCAGCTGAATTTTCCCTCTCCAACTTTGAACATTTTGCCTATTGCATCCTGTATTTCAGGCTCCTACTCAGAAACTAAAAATTATTCTTCCCTGAGTCACGAGTACTATCAGAAAGAAGCCATTGTGTCAGTAAGGCTATATTCATACAGAGAAATAAGATTGACAGCATCAAGGAACAGCAGCAATAGTTAACCAGGAGCTAAAACCCCAAACCAATTGTCCCTTCTGTCAACCACCAGTGATTAAAGTAGTATGTTCTGAGACAAAAAGGAGGAAAAACAGCACTAGGAAACAAGACCAACCAGGGACAAAACGCTACTACATTCTCTCTTAAATGCGTAAATATATCAGAGTTGATTAATAATTAGCCTCCAAATTAAAAAGGCAGATCCTCACTTACACACTACATGAAAAAAGGACATATATACATACACAAAATCTAAAGTGGTAAAGTCCAGAAAACACTAGATGAAAGAAACAAAGCAAGGCAGAATGACAGAGGAAGACAGACAGCAGTTGGAAAATAAAGGATCAGATAGTCACTATGTAATTCCCACCATGGTTAACAGCATACTAAAGAAACAACTGTCCTCTAGAAGAAAACAAGGAATACAGGGGGAAAAAAAAAGTATCACTCATTTCAGCTGTTGTCTTGTACTTATTTCATAAACTTTTTGGCTTAAGAATAATCTTTTTATAAGTTTTGTAGAGCACTTATTAAATTGGGCCTTTAGAATTCTGAAAGTATTAGTAAATCATAATTACCACTATAAAGAACAGGTAGTCAGCAACTCATTGTCTATCCTCCACTCCTCAACATTTCTGATGGAGCCAAGTGCAACACTCTGGACATGCAGTCCCTGGATTCCCATAATTTGGGGTTCATTTCCCAAAAGAATCAGTGGAAACACTAGAATTTCATTCTTTGCAAACCCATACCTTTTTCTGACCATGCAATCCAAACAAAACACACTGCGTCTGAAAATTTTGGGCTAATCTCTGCCTATAACCAGAGCCTTAAATTTAAACCTTTTTCACATTAACTCTGGGACTGTTTAGTTTCAAGCATAAACTTTACAGTTCGCTACTGTTTCCATAAAGAGCCTGACCTGGAAATCCACATTCACTCATGAAGCTAGAGAAGTCATAAGAGAACGCAAAAATGATGCAGCTTAGGTGCACATCTAGATTTCTGTTAAATTTGATCCCTTTGCTTCTAAAGCTACAGGCAGATACTGAGTAAGAGAGGAAAAGCTGGAAAAACCTTAAATGAAACAATATTAATACTTCTCCAGGGTGAAATGCTGGCTCCACTGAAGTAAAGGATAAAAGCTCATTGACCTTTCTGATGCTGAAGTGCAACTGTATTTTTAACAGAGGGGGTCAAAACTTTTCTGCCTGTATCCTGCAAGAAAAGACTGATTTTTCTGAATCACAGTTGTTCCCAGCCACATACCCTGGAGCTGAAAAGTTCAGACAATATCTTCCCATTTAACTTTCTGACTTAATTCTCCCAAATTTGAGATTTTTAAGAATTTATTTGTCCCATGGAAAATGAAGCATATCTAACATTTGTTTTTATAAGGCATGATGTATTTTTTAAAAGTACAAATTCATGTGAAGCCTCCTCTGTTTTTCACAACTGCAAGCATAGTATTTCCATAACTTTTCTCCAGGTAAATTGCTATTAACTACAGGGTAGCCTTCAGTTTTGAGTTTAAACAGCTGAATTAAACAGTTTGCACTGATTTGGGAGTGAACTTTTCTGCTCAATAGTTTACATTAAAGGTGGGATTTCCAAAACCATTTAAAAGAATTGCATTTGTAACTCCTGTTCAATTTCTAATGGGAATCAGGCATGAAAATACTGCCAACAGTTTAGGAAAAAAAAAAAAAGAAAGAGGAAATAAATTATAGTAATCAAAATGCAAGAACTCAGTACCTGTATGAGAGAGGCAGCAGCTGGAATTTGACGGTTGAAATGCTTCTGTCTTTGTTTCTGTTGTACCTTTAGGGCAAAGCCTGAACCGAGAATTCCCTGTGGGAAGAAAGAAAACACAGATCTAATTTTTTTTCAAGGGGAAGGAGGAAAAACACACATAAGCTTACCAAATTATGTTGCATTAATAAACTTCTATTCAGCATCATAAACCCCAACTAATTATTTAGAGGAAATGACTTAATACTGTTAAGTTTTTAGACTGAGTTAGTATTACTTGATGAAACAAACTATGAATGCTGTCATGCCCTGATCCAAAGCCTATTTAAGTCAGCTGGACTCAAACACTAAAGAGTGAGCAGAAATGATATTTCATACCCTCTAAAAGCCTGATAAATGCTTGTCCAGGGGAATGACAGAATAAGGAGAAATATTAACCTGATTTGCTTAACTTCATTTTTATGAAAAATAAAGCTTTGGCATGGCACGGTTCAGGTCACAGGAAAGACCTTTTAACTGTAGCATGGTAATTTCTATTTCCGTGTTAAGCCATGTTGGGAGGAGAGGACAAAGAAGAGGAAAAGGAATATTACAAAATGGGCAGGACTCCAGAGGATTCAATACAAGGCTTTCTAATTCACTCTCAGGAGAAGGGACATGGACTAATGGCACTGGATGGTGTACAACCCAAAATACCCTCCAAACACAGTACAACTATTAAGTCCAAAATTGAGTGTAGTGTGAGTCATTTATGTAGTCATTTGCATAGCTATAGACACATTTAACAGAGGTTTAATAAAACAGATAAAAATAAGATCTTCTGTAAATCAAAGTACAAGACTACACATACCCAATAAAAGCATAATTAATTCTTTACATATGGTAGTCAAGGTGTCAGAGCAGCCAGTAATCTTGGCTCAACCTCTAAGAATTGTATTACTCAAGTGTTTTGAAAGGAAGAGGAAAGGCCCTTCCTATTATGTTTATCTAGAAAAGATCAAAGAGCTAACGTTGCTCTAACATCACTTCTTTGGGAAACGAAGGATCTTTGTTAAATTGAGAACTCATGCTACTTGTGTTTGGCCACAACAATTACTTCAGCCAGCTCCTCTTATTTAAAAGGGCAACAAGGCAGCATGCAATAATTATTCCCTATCAACTATTTACTGCTAGAGCTTCAAACCCTAAATTTGCCTTTGGGCCAACTTGCAAGAACAATTCAATTCAGTAATAATACCACACTGATAAAAGGGTGTTTGTTGTTGTTTTACATCTACAAATGACTAGAGAAATCTGATAAGTAAACATAAAAGCATTGCTGTGAAGGTGGGGCTGCTACACCTTATTTATAAGACATCTTTACTGGCATTCAAGTCCAAGGAGGAAAAAAATAAAAAATAAACAAAACAAAAAAAAACCCAAGCAACAACAACAAAAGAAACCAAAACAAACTCTTCAGTCAAAATAGGATCTTTTGGCACTTTTCTTACAGATCATTTCATTTACTAGATCTCTTTTCTAAACAAGGAATAAATGTGAAAGAGATTACAATGAGGAGGGGGAAAGAATATGCTTTAAAGGCAAACTTATGTTGGAGAGTCTAAAAATTTACACTTAAGTACCCTCCTCTGCAAAAGGTTGTGTACCTTTAAAGTAACTGACTAATTTTAATAAGCCAATGAAGTTTAAATTGCTACTAGCTCATGTTGTAAAGAATTTTTGTGACCACACTGGCATAAAAATATTCTTCTCATCCATCCTGTATTTAACCCCACCACTTGCCTGCCACAGCTACACAAGCATTTGCTAACACGATTGGTGACACTGAACTTAAACACTTGCTGAAAAATTAACGTTTTAACAACACCTTTCAGGCTGCACAAAAATTTTAACAGCACAATTTAGGAGTACTGCTAAACTAAGGGGTGGGAGGGAAAAACCAAAACCACAAAAAAAACCCACAGAGAAACCCCATCCCGAAACCCTTAACTACCCTTGGCACTGAACATTTCAGTTTTTAAACAGTCCAGGTTTCACTGATTTTGAATTTACTCTTGGTACTCAAGTGCCTCATTTCTTGTTAGAAACTACTTTGGAACTTGTTCTCAGTGCAAAGTGCTATAACACCTTTACAATCTCAGCCCTAGGCCACTTTTGAAAATAGGACTTTGGCCGCGGACAGATGCTAATTTGGCAAGAGCTGCATCAGTGTCCCTGGTTATTTATTGTTGTCTCTCTGACAGTGACACCTTTCCAGCAGCTTTGTTAGAAGAAGAAAGTGTATGAGAACTCTGCAGTTCACCCTGAACCTAATCAGTTGAATAAACTATGAGTGAATTCCTTAAAAAGCCAAAACACCACTAAGTCATTGAGTTCACAAATAATTAGCATGAGAAATAATTTCCTCATCTTTCACTTCTGAGATGCACAGAAAAAGTAATTTGAACTAAACATCTCTTTCTCAAGTATATACCAAATCTAGTGATGCATACAATAAATACTGTATAACAATAACAAAATTTCCTCTGACAACTAAGAAGTCAACACCAAATTGCCAGCAAAAGCACAAGATAACCTACCGCAGGTAGTGCAAAAAATGAAATCGCAAATACTGAAAAACAAGATGCAATGGTCTTTCCTATCCAAGTCTGAGGCACTTTATCCCCGTAGCCAATAGTTGTAACAGTCACCTGTAAAGAGAAATACATAAAGCATTACAGCAAGTACTAATGTGGCAAGTTTGGGTTGTTGTTCTTTTTTCCTTTTTTATTTATTTTAAAGAAACATTAATTACATTCCTAACTCTTCTAATGACAGTCTGTGTGACATTAATGAACATAACTCTCCCCTCCAGCCTTACATCCCCACCTACAATAGATGAAAAAGGTACAGAAAATTGAATTACAATAAAATACATGTTTAAAATCTGATAAAGTAAAACCATTAATTTAAGTCTTCATGGCTGAGGCAACTTTACAGCATATGAAGTTATTGGGATACGGGTTGCCTGATCATGTCATACACTTTCCTTAGGGCGATGCTGCCAACAGTTCTGAATTGATTTTCTTTATGGGCAGGAGATGTTTGCTGAGAGTATTCCAGGGCTTTTGCAAAGAAAGAGCATATGAATACTCCAACCACAGACTGGGGTCAGACACAAAGTATTCCAGAGAACAATATTGGTATAAATAACAAGAGAAGCTGAAAAATTTCCATGCAGTAAAGATCCGGAAAACATAGTCTAATGAATCACTAATTCGTATAATACATAGACAGCAATAACAGATAATTTAATGCACACATGCAGGAAACATCTGTTGAGTTTGGGTTTCAAAACACTAAAGTAAAGATTACCACCACAATGATGTATCATAACAAGGCTTAATAAGTCATTATTTGCATGAGCTCAAGGAAAGAATGGATTTGTTTGAAGTAGAAGGATACATTTGGCATCTGCAAGCAATTCAAATTCACCTATGACACAAGCTATTTCCGAATTTGGAAATTAGAGAGATTTTATCTGTAGCTTTGAAGAGGCTAACCAGATCAGAGCATGTGAAACCACATGAAGTTCTCAAGCAGTTGAAAGACACCTCAACTGCTGGCAGTCCAGACTTTTTTTTTCTGAAAGCATGGGCTTCAGCTGCCCAAGGGACACAGAGGATGTTAGTCCTAGATGGTAATAGACATGGGCCATCCCCACCATGTCCTGCAGTTGCTCCTAGTTTGCCTGTCTGCTGTAATGCATACAACTCAGCAACTGCAGAAATGCAGGCAATGCCCAGGGCAGCATCTCCAGGGGAGGAGAGAAGGGCAGATTTATGGAGGCAAGATGTTTGTTAAGGGGATGAAGGGATGGAAAACCTGGATTTGGGGACATAAAAGGTTATGACAAGTGCTTCAGGAAAAGTATGGCTGTTGACCACTTTAATAACTGTCCAATCCTAGTACAAGATGAGGTACCAGAGAGAAATCATGTGGATGTAATTTCTGACCTGAGCTGTAGCTCAGAAACACATGAAGCAAGCCATCCATACTCAAACTGTCTGCCTTCTAAGCAACATCATTATGTGTCTATTGAACACACGGAAAAGCTCAAACTACTTGAGGTGGTAATGTGAAAAGTTTATTGCAAGCAGATGATATGCAAAACATTCAAGTAGTAGCATTTAATTTTTTAGCACAAATTTTTAAGATGTGGCCTATTTTCAAAACTGTTTCATATCCTACAAAAGTAGTTTAAGAATTAGTAAGGCAAGTTGCCTGTATTCCTGAAATTGTTGTTGAAATACCATCCTAATTCAGGGCCTGACGAGGAACTGAATGGATAACATTACCTCCTTACCGACACAAGAGGATCAATTAAAAAAAAAAAGCAAAATTCCTAAAATAAAATTAAAATCTCCTGTTAAAAAAAATATGGTATAAAACAGGAAATATAACTATGGGAAAAGTAATGGCCTCTGATATCTTCTTACATAAAAGATTATGAGAGAAGATAGTGGTTTATGTCTCAGTTTTTTAAAAGATTCACAAATGCTTGTCACTGACAAGCTTTATCAACGATTCTATGTTAAAATCTTAACATCATGTCAAAGTATACACATTAAATAGAAACATGAAAAGAAATAGGTGGTTTTGAGCTGAATGAAGTATAACTGAAGAAAAATTCATATGCAACTAAGAAATATTTGTCTTCCCTTTCCCACCGCCCCCCTACCCACCATTTCTGAATTGGTCTATATGAAGCATCTATGACAAAAAAAATATTTTCTGTGCTGTTTGTTTAGGATTTTCTTAATAAAACATTTTGGAAATTAGGTTGCAAATCAAAGTGTGCATTTAAGTAAACATTTTTCTCTGCTGCATAACTCTAATCCATCAACAAATGCATTGTATCCTAAAATTACATTTTCTTTTTTTCCCCAAGATATATTCTGTTGAAACCTTACATGCCAAGTTTCAGCCCTAAATGAATTTTTACAGCCCGATGATTATAACCCCCTAAAGAGTACAGTACTAATTTTACTGTTGTAAAATACAATCTTATAATGGAAATACTGACTCAACTTCTACTCTAGCACAGTAAATATGTTAGCATAATGAAATTAAATTCATACAAGAGCTCACACATTAAATTTTCATTGAAAAGCAGCATGTAAAACTAATTGTTTTAATTAGGAACAAAATCATATTCATTCATTCACTATTTCACAACTTTGATCTGATGTACATCACCGCAGGCTTTGGTATTAAGACTAATCTTGTTCCTATTAAATATGCATCAATAGTCTGAAGGAGGAAATATGAAGCAAAAATCTACACAGCAAGAAGAAATAGTAATGGCTGTCAGCACTGCATAGGGAGGAGATTTGATTCAAAGCTACCAGGCTAAAGCAAGACAGCAATCTAATCAGGTGAGTAACAATGCTCTGTTGATGAAATCATTGCTGTGTGCCTTGCAAAAAATTTAGATAGTTAAACAGGTACAAAACACAAGAATGCATGATTCAGAGGCATTATAAAGGCAGGGCTGGGAGAGCAAACAAGCTAAAAAGATTTAAAAAGCCAAGCATTATAGCAAATAAGAGAAAATCGCCTTATAGCAAATACCTTAACCACTTTGTTTCTAAATTTGCACCATTGCAATGTCAAAATCAATTGCACTATGTATTGTTTTGCATACCAAATAACACTCAGAATTTTCTGATCCACTCACAATACCCATCCTGATTAAATCAAGCAATATAAGAACATCAGCAACATCAATCTACTCCCTGACTTCTTTGTAACCGAGGTATAGTAAATTGCCAGATGGTTGGAATACTCTCCTGTACACCTGCACGTAACGAACACATTAGAAGCCTTTCTACTGCTTGATGTCTTACTCAGTCAACCGCATTCATGCAAGCTGAATACAAAGTGAATTTTTTCCAAGTTGCAGAAATCCATGCAGCACAAATGCAAACAGATTAGACACTCATGCTTTTACTTTACTGTGAAGTAAGCAATCTGTATAAAGCTAAAAAAACCCAAACAACCAACCCATCAACAAAAAAATCTAGTGATCTTTTGATACTTATTTCCAAAATGACAGCATTTTTCTTCCTTGTGCATATAAAGATGTTAGCAATAAGCAGTGACTCACACAACAAAAATTCCACTTTCTGCTCCCAATCACCTCTCTGTATGTTGCAGCACTCTGAGAAGATTCAAGTTACATCCTTCACATGAACAACTTACAAACTGCATTACAGAGGACATAAATGTTTTGAAACATGGAAATTAAAACTGTAATCTAAAACTGAAGAAAGGACTTCCTGGTCACCACTACTACAAACATTTAAAGGGGATGTTTGGATTCTTTTTCTACTTAAAAATTCAGTCATTTCATACAGTCATCATTGCAGGCTCAAAACACCATTCTCAATGCAACTGGGTACATAACTAAGACACAACTACATCTGAAGGACACTGAAACACTTCTAATAACTTAGGGTACAAAATGAAATGGAACTACACATCCCATTGCAAACACAACAAACAATATATTTTCAGTGTCATGTCTCTCAAATAATAGATCCTTTTAATGCTTCTTAGCCATAACTCTCAGATCTTAGTTTAATACCCCCTGAAGATGTCATTTTCAGCCATCAGTCAGTTCTGACCAAATTACTGGACACCCTAAACCATCTGAAAATGAATTGGCTTTCCTCTCACTGTTACTGTTCGGATGTTATGCCAGAACCTCATGCTTCTGATGGTACCAGACATTCTTGTAGGCTCTTGTCTTCATTTCAGAAAGACGGGTTTCCAGCCTTGTTTTTCTGTTCCATCGTTTCATGGGCTCAGTTTGTCCCTCTCCCCTCCTCTGTTGCCTCACTTCTGCAGTACACACACCTGCAAAACAGCACACCCCAAAGGCTGCTGAACCCCTCTCTCAGTATGTTTAGCCTCACAAATAAAAGCTGTTTTCACTTGCTCTTGTAAAACAGCCTATTCATCCCCTGGATCATTCTGGCAGTAGTTCTCAAGAATAACAAGGTACTGAACATAAACTTGCATTAAAATAGGGAGAATTGTTCATTATTAGTGAAGGTATAGGCAGCTTCTCTCCCCACCCCAAGCACTGTTACCAGAATAAAATGATAACTAAATTAGGAAAACATAGTCCAGCAAAAAGACTTAAAACCTCCCAGAAAGATGATTGTTTGAGAATTGTTTTCATTTCATCCTTATGATGATCATTTTTACTTGGAGTGAACAGACAATTTTAGATCTGAACTCAGTAGCAAACATATACATGGATACAAGATGGAAGAATATCTACTTCTGTGCTTTGTGAGTACGAATTTTTAAGAGTTTCTCTACATCCACCCCACAAATTTTCATTAAATGAGGACAAAACATAGTTGGAACTGCTCATAGACTTGAAGCTCAGAAATGAGAAGTCAATTGCAAGATGCAGAGATTGCATGTAAAACACATGCATAAATAATAACCCTTACATCTTCTGACCAATGCTCAAAAAATTCATAAAATAACCAACTCTTCCCCCCAAATCCCAAACACATCATCTAAAGAAATTAGAAAAATAAAAATAAAAAATAAAAAAGGGTATGACAGCTCTATAGGTGGAATTCTCGACTTGTGAACCACAAAAAGAGTAGAAGTGTCACCTTCTAACACTGAAGTCAGAGTATATTCCTCAGCAGCTTTTTTATTTAGAAGGGGGGAAAAAAGGGTTCTGAATAACACAAGATCCCTTTCATGCAGCATTTTTTCAATATTTATGTTCAACTATTTATAAATTAGATCAGATCTGTTCTAATTTAGTGAAAGTTCTATGCATGTGTAGTTTCAACTGTTATTTCCTGCAATTTTTCAGCAAAGCTTTCCCACAATTTTGATTTTCTGTTTACATGAAGCACGTACTGATACATACGAACATGGCTTTCTGTATGCTTAGAAGCAAGCAAACTTATCAGTATTCTGTTGAATTCAGTTCTTGGTGAGAAATCATATACTGATGAAGTAAATCAAGAAGAAACTCTTAGCTAAAGATGGTACTTGAGGACAGTTGCTTGATGCAATTCAAAGGAACGGGAACAGTATAATATCCATGCATGGCTATATTCAGTAACTGCTTGTGGCAAACAGTGTTCATGATCAGAGGGACTGTTAGCACAATCCACATAACAGTTTTCCCAAAGGATGTTTTTTCAGATGTGAAGGTTAGAAATTGTGTATTTTTCAGTGGATATCAAAAGGAAAGCTTTCCTCAGTCTGCCTGAGGCAATAACATCCCCTGACAGTGGTCATCTTTGGCATATTTGGCAAGAACATTAAGTATCTTATTTTTATTTTCTTAGCATCTCTTATTTATTTACTTATTATTGTGGGGGTTTTTTGTCCAGACTCTATCCTAGGTGTTTAAGACTATTAGTCTGGACATGAAGGACAACATAAGCACACTAATTTTGAATACTGAGACTGGGGAGCTGAAAGATGCATCATGTTACTTGTGTTTTACTTGCAAATGTTCAACTAGTCTTTTGAAAGACTATGCAGCCATTGGCAGAATTATTTATAGAACATGTGCTGCATTCAAAACCAGCAATAACAACAGACAAATCTTTACTTTATGCCACAAGGTAACCTTGGGTTTCTTCAAGAAGCTCATAAACTGGAACAGTGAATAGCTACATCCCAGGGTTCTCGAGGAAATCCAAATAAAGCCCAGGAGGTCAATTTACATATGGAAATAGAAAAGCAATATAGATTTATAAATAACAACAATGAAGAACATTTAATTAAAAGTTATGCACCCTATGGGTATGCCTATAGTCAGCAAAGCACAGTAATATAAAAATACCCAATTCCAGATGCAGTTGAATTGTGGTAACATAGACCTTTAATATGGATTACTTTATGCCATGCTACATATTCTATTGTTGCTACCCAAAGAACTTGTTCAGCATTGCAGACATACTGATATAACAAAAAAAGTGCAATGTTGTAGAGTGAGAAAGGGGATGTGAAAACATTATCAAGTACTTTACTTTTAGAAGCATTCTCTACTATATACGGTAAATGCAGTTTCAGAGAAGAGAAATCACCTGCATTGCCACACAGGTCATCTATCAATGACAGTGTTTGAGACGCAAGCTGTGAAGTATCCTCTTCTTTGTGCCCAGTTCAAAACAGACTGAGACAGGTTTTCAGTGACCAGAATTTGTGGTATTTAAGCTATTCTGAAAATTCTGGCTAAAATAAAGCTGAATCTTTTGAGGCCTAACACTTAGAGGTTTTTGAGTTTGAAAAGCATCCTGATACTTAAACACCTCCCAGTTACTGTCCTAATTTTACAGAGTTTTTCATATCAGAAAGCATGAAGAATATTATAGTGTCAAAACACAAGAAATGGATGGACCTGAATCAGTTCAGTTTTGTTTTGCTAAATCTTTTTAGCAGAAGTATAGCATCTGTATTTAGAGCAGAACAAGGACACCAAATTCTACTTTTAATATTAAAGAAATTACATCATGTGTTCATTGAATGCAGTATCACACTTCAGGTGGCTTGCTGCAACATAATAGAAGTTATAATGGAGAAAGAATATTATCATAAACAAACTTATTGATTAAATAAGCTTATTGTAATTAGACAAAATAACTGGCATGCCTATTACCTGAGTAATAATTCCCTGAAATGATAATATTTCAATATCATGACAGATGATACTGCTTCTGTGCAAGGCTACACTGTATTTTCAGTAAGCCAATCTGTTTGTCACATACTTAATTTTTAATGCAAACAGCAATGACAGCATGTGTTTTTAAATGCAGCTACATCTGCCACTGTTAATTACTGAGCCATCTGACCACTGTACTGGAAAATAAAAACGCTGTGATGACATTAAAGCATTGAAAAAGCTACTTGCCAGAAAGCCACTTCATACAGCAAGTTTTCTGAGCCTAAGAGAGGCTGTTTAACTGTGGCAGGCAGCAAGGGGAAACAATTCTGCAGCAAATCTTAGCAGCAACCTAAACAAAACCTATTGTATTCAAAACCAGCTACACATGTATTTCAGCACCAGGAGACCTGCAGTAGACTTACTTATCAATAGATCTTTCCTTCCTGAAACAGCAAGTGGTACTGTTTGTAGGCAGAAGACCATGTAAGTGCATGCAGATGCAGAGGTTTATTAAAAAATTTTCTTTAAAAATATATGTTTTATTAGTGAAAGAGGTGTTAGTCCTGTCTTTTTTGCACATATACTTACTAGTAATCTCATTTTTAACAAAAAAAGGAACAATTCCTTTTGATTTAAACCATCAAAGAGAAGACTCCAGAAGATCAGCACATTTTAAAAATACAAGCATAGAATCATTAGTTGATGCCTACGTATTTTGAAGACCTGCAGCACTTGATGATGACAGTTTGTTTTATTAAGCTACATACAATTAAAGCAGATAAAACCAGGTTATTGCTTGAATGGTAATGGTAAGAAAACACAGCTTCCAAAAAGTATCTTTCTTTGAATTGTAATAGGCAAAGGAAAATGGAAAACAATTACAGAGCAGAGAAGCCAACCTAGGATTTGCATATCATGTGAGAAAAGAAAGAGGGAATTGTTACCAGCAAGGGCAACAAAATTAAAATGTTTACTCAAATATAGTCCCAGAAGACAGCTGCCAAACTAGTAAGTACCTATAATAAACAAAAAGAGAGACAACTGTCACTAGCAACAGCAAGAAAGTAGAAATTTATTAGCAGAACTAAAGATACATCTACACCAAAACATGGCAGCACCCTAGAGAAACCTGAGAAATCTCTGAGCAAGATTATACATCGACATAGCACAGATGAATGCCATATAAGGATACTAAGTAGATTCCAAAGCAATATAATCACTTTAAAACAGTCCTGTGCCTGGATTCCTTAAGTATCTCAGATGCACCTTGTTCTGACTTAGTCTGTTCTGAATAAATAGGGAATCACCATTCCAGGCTGAATTGCAAACCACAGATATTGGTTAAAAAAATCAAACAACAAACAAACAAGAAACCTCCCCCCAAAACCACCAAACACACACAAAAATACCCCAAAACACTAGCCCTGATTTAGGAAGACTCTTATCACCTTAGAAGGCTGAACCCTACAATGAGAACGACAGGAAAAAATAATCACTATAACAGAAGGGAACACAAGATGAAGAAATAAGACTAGATGTTTCTACACCTTGTATACATAATTTGATCACATAAGACTATAATTACCAAACAAAACCAAATTACCAAATATAATTACCAAATTTTCTTATTTTCATGAATGACAAAAACAGAAAGTGTATTGAAGTACTAAAGAGGCCATTTCAAGAGCAGTTCTTACTCCATGCTTGCTTGAACTTTACTCCCCATTTGAAGGTGTTAACTTTGTTTACTACATATGAAAATGTTATACTTACTACTCCCCACCACAGAGCATCTGCATAGCTGCCAAACTCTGTTTCTCCAGAATCATTTACAGCATCTTTTTCAGCCAGGTATACAAAATAAGAAGAAAAAATCAGGCCCAGAAATCCGATGTAGAGTGTAGTTATCAGTTCCTGCAAAGAGATTCAAAATAACAGCACCATGGCAGGAGTGTTGGAATTTGATGATCTTCAGGTCCTTTCCAACCCTAACTATTCTATGATTCTATGATATTATTAAGACACTTAAATTACCTGTCACTGATGGTTTTTAAAAGATAATGGAATAGAAGAATGTCATTTCAGCACTTAATAAACACTGACAGCAATTGTTGGCTGTGCCAATTAACAAAAATCCCCTGAGCTCACACAGTCAAAACAATCTCCTCACCTGCAACCGTGACTCACAACCCTTTTGTTCAACAAAAAGTAGTTGGGTAATCTTTTCAGGCAGTGCCGCACTGAAAACAACTTTGGAATTCACATAGGTATTTTTAGAAATACTCAGACTACCTTTCAGAAGTCTCATTTCCTGTGGTTAAGCCCAACTACAAGTCAAAAGTTTGACAAAGTGGAGGTGAATATTTTTAATGTTTTAGGAACTTTCTGTCCCTCGAACCAGGCAGAAGCACCATAGTTGGTTAAAATAAATGACTGTCTGCCTCTACAATAAATATATTTGACGTCATCAACATGTCTGCATACATGTTGTTTTTAATGTAAGGACTTTTGCATCAATTATTATGGCATTCCTCAGAGTGACCCAACTTACTTGTCTGTGTATGAACACTACTGATCCCAGCAGCCTCCATGTACCACCCTGACGGTCAACATGCAGCATTCGCAAAATCTGCAGAAAGCGGATGCCCCTGGAACACAATTTGTAAATGAATGAAGAGACCAAAGATACAAAAGAAGAAACGGAGGTGGAGACGGGGAGTCTGGCTCTTCCAAAGGACTGGTTTTAGAGAGAGACATAGTATTTTATTTTAGACTTAGCAGCCTGTCTCTTTTCACTACTTTCACCAATCTTCCATCTTGTTTGTTACAAAGACAGCATGGGGACATTGTACAAGAGAGGGACAGACCTTTATACACATGACTGGTAAGGATAACACAATGATTCAGGAACTTGGGACACAAATTGTGAATGCTTCTAGAAATCATCCAACTCGTAATTGACCCGTTTGCCAGGATGGGAAACAACATACAGAAACAGCTAACTAAAAAGCTGATTTCCTCACCTTTGCGGAATTTCATAAGCAATTTGAAGTAGTCAGTCACATAATACTTTAAAATGTTCTTTTTATGATAGTAACTGCAATCCTAAGGCACCACTGCAGCTAGTGTCCAGAACACAGTACACTGCCATGTACTGTAATAACATTCAAGAAAACCCAGTGGTATGACTTTCCTGAGGATAAAGCAAATTCAGTCCATCAGGAAGTCACAACCACTAACCCCAGGCATTTTATGAAGAAACAGCTTGAAGGCGGAGACATGAAGCACAAAAGAGTTGTTATAAAACTTAGTCAAGAAACTAAAATAGGATTTGGATAGAATCCACTTTTCTGGGGAAATGCAGCAGGGGTTCTTTCCCCACCAGACATAAATGCATTACAACCAGACAACACGTGAAAAATTGTATTTCCCCTACACTTAATGGGATCACTGTTTCACACCCTTACATGATTGGTGATCCATTACATGACTGAGCAGTGACTCATTTTCTCCCACAAGAATTAAAAAAAAAAAGAGGTTAAAAAAAAAATTAAAAAGGAGGAAAAAAACCCCCACCTTACTCAGCACTATTTTCTTTTATTGCATATAATTACCTGATAGCGGAGGTTGCGAAGACTTGACCTTTAGAGCCCACACAAAGAACTATCATGGAAGCAACAACTACAATTAAATCTGGAAAATAAAATTAAAAAAAGTAAGTTAGCAGCATCTTGTAATACTTCTGCAAGACTGTTACTAGAACCAATGTCAATATTATTGTAACAATTCAAACTGTCAGCCCAAACTAAGATTTTATATATCTCAAAAGATCTCTGCTGTAACATATAAAGAAAATGTAACTGTGTGATATGCTAGAAAGGTTTTACTGCGATGGGTCAAGATGGCCACATTCTGGATGAATGACAAGAATGATACGAGACACTGTAAAGCAGCCTCAGCAGCCTGGAATCCTTATTAGCTATAACCCATGAAGAATTTCAGCAGCTTCTCCCTATTATCTCTTCTGTGTATTTTATTTTCTCTGCTGGTTTAGACAGTAATTTATTCATTGACAGAAGTTTTGGGGTTTATTTCATATATAAAAAAATTACCCTATGATTATTTCATCTGTCCTAAAGGTCTAAAAGGGAGAGAAAAATGGGAATTAGTGTATAAATCTAATTTAGTTTAAGTCAGTCATCACCCTATGACTGTACTCTAACTCTCTGTGCCTCAGGCCTAGTAAATTTTGGAAATGAATCCTGTATTTTGGAGAATGAAAAAGTTCTTGAAACATATCTGGGAAAGTGGAACTTCATTCTGCTTTCCAACCTGAAATAAACTGGATGATGTTTCAGAACCCCTACTGTTCCAGGTCTCAAGAGAAATGGATTGTGGAAAGAGT